CTAGGAGACATGAAACCTGGCATTAGAATTAGAAGTGGGAGAGGAGGAAGAAGAGGAGATGGAGAAGCAATGGCATCAGCGGTCATACAAAGGGAAGGCAATGAGAAAACTCAAGATGATGTCCATCTATCAGTCAAGGAGAGAGGCCACAGAAGAAACCAGCCCTATTATTGGTGCAGGTGTGGGTGAGTCAGCCCTAAAGCAATAAGCAAGGAAGAGTTGGACCCTCACCTATTTTTCCTGTGGTGACTTGTAGCATGATTAATAAAAACCTAGAGATGGATAGTGGGGTTCAACCTGAAGATCAGAAAAGCAAAGCAGCCAGTCACTGGCTCTTACTCCTATCTCAAAGCAAAAATGGCGATCCTGCCTCCACAAACCCTCGGAATGAGACTGGATGTGAGACCTGTCTCCTCCTGTGTTATATTCCTCTCTAGTACTGGGATTAAAGGTGGGCATGCCCAGCCTCTGCAGGTAACTAGTATGGCTGCTGGGTTTAAAGGTGTGTGGAACCACTGTCCAGTCTGTATAGCTGAGTGGTGTGACTGCTTTTCACTAAACTTCTGGCAACTTTATTTATTAAAATACAAATGAAATATCACTACAGTGGCATAGGCTGGGGAGAGCCCAGCCCACCTCCCCACCTCCTTCTGCTGTCCATCAATGCCTGAGTCAGGTGTGAGAACTGGCCCTGAGGTCACAAGATGGGGAGAGATGCCCCTGCTCCCCACCAACTGCAACACTTGGGAGAGAAGGCCCTGTCCCTCACCTGAGTAACACAATAGAGCCAACCTTGTTGACAGAGTTGTGGGTGAGCCAGCTCCGACATTGTAAGTGTGCCAGAACTGTCCTGAAGACTCTCCTGTCGTGCGACGGTGTGTGAGTGGGAGAGAGATCTCCCTTTACCCCTCACCCCTTACCTATTGCAACAGATGAGAGAGCTGACAACTTCCCTCCCCGCCCCTGCTTATCAGCGGCAGCATTCAGGCACGGGAATCCTATTCCTGGCCTAGGCAGCACAGCATAGCTGCCCAGTGGTCTGAGGTAAGGGTGACCCAACCCTGATGCAGTGAGCAAGGGATAGCTCCCCATTATTCACCTGAGATGTGGCGGCAGAGGAGAAATGCCCTCCTCTCCACTCCATGCCCATGAATGCCTGAGACAGAGGAGCTGGCCCTGGAGTCATAGAATCGAGGTGCTTTCCCTGCCCCTCACCAGCTGCAGCACACTGGAGAGTTGTCCCTATACCTTACTTGGGCAACACAATAGAGCTGGCCCTGATGGTGTAGAGGTGGAGAATGGTCCCCGTACTTCGCCTGGGCAACACAGTAGAGCTGGCCCTGATGCTGTAAAGGTGGGAGAAACAATCCTGAGGGCTTGAAAGCAGGAAAGCTGGCCTCACCCCTCATTCATTGCTGTAAGAGGCAAATTATCCAGGGCAATGCTGGAGAGCTCACCCTGGTGGTGAGGATAGGGAAGAACATACCAGCTCTGAACCTGCCCAAGCCCAGAACCAGGGTTACGACTTGACAGGCCCCCAAATTCACCCCATCTATGATTTACCAGAAAATCTGAAAGAACCTAACCTGCAGACACAGAGCTGCAGGATCTTCATGTCACAGAGCAACAGCAGGATATCCAAACAGAGTTCCAGCGAGGGCCCAGCATTGAAAGTGTAGTAAAAGTCAGAGGTCACGAACCAGACCAACGACTCTTTGCAATGAACACTTGTGAGTAAAAGGACAAAGGAGTTTATTGCGGGTCTGGTTGTGTCACACTACAGCTTCCATGATGAAATTTTATTTTTTTTCTTTTTGTTTTCCTCTAAAATTTTGTTTTATTGGGGGTTGAGGGTTGCAGGGGTGGAGGGTAGATGCAGGGGCAGAAGACAGATGCAAAGGAATGGGGAAATGAATGGGATCAAGATACATGATTTAAAAGACACATAGAATAAATAAAAGAAAGTTTTTTTTAAAAAAAAGAAAGAAAAGAAACCAGCCCTGACTGCACCTTCATCTTAGACTTTTAGCCTCCAGAATTGCGATCACATAAATCTCTATTGTTTAAACTTCCCAGTCGTTCTTATCACATCCCTAGTGAGCAGCATACTGGTTATAAGTCTTTAGATTATTCTCCAACAGGAAAATTGAATAGTGTATCTCAGTGTTTAGAAGCTATGGCACAGCAAACAATGATATATGTGTCCATTACATTTGCTGGGAAACTAAACTTCTGCCTGGCTATATTGGGGATTCACCAGCTTCTTGCCTGGGAGCTCTCAGGGAGTAGTATGTGATTAGTAGTCTGTAATATTCCATAGGACCCTCTACCACACGCGCGCGCGCGCACACACACACACACACACACAAAAGATTAAAGGAACTTTAACAGTCTATGACTCCAGCTGATGATTTTTCTCATGAATTAAAGAAAGTTGATCATCTAAAAGACATAAGAGATAGAACAAAAAGCATTTGACAAATTTCCACACCTATTAGCAATAAATTCACTGTAATAAAGTCAGGGATGATGATGCATGTCTGTAATCTCAGTATTCAGAAGACTGAGGCAGGAGAATTAAGAGTTTGGGACTAGCTTGGGCTACCAACACTGTTAAAGCAGAGGAGCTTCAGCTGCCAGCATGAAGCACACATGTCAGCTGGGGATGTGTTTTGGTTGGTAGACTACTTGTGTAACAAGCAGGAAGCCCCAGGCTCAATCCTTAGCATCACATGAACCAGGTATGGCAGCACAAACTTGTAATCTCAGCATTCAGAAGGGGAAGGCAATGTGGTAAGGTTCTTCTCGTAACTAAGGGATAGCAATATGACAAAATTAATATCTATAAGGATGTTCGTGACGATGCCATAGCCCTGTAACACAGATCAACTAATCAGAATGTATGTGATCATGTAATGGAGACAAAGGGGGGACTGAATGTAAAGGGGAACTAAGGTAGCTTATATAAAGTTACACCCCTCTGGGCTGGGGCTCAATCTTTGAATGTCAATTCTCTGAGCTAGTGCTGGCACAAATAAACAGAAAGCCTCAGTGGTGTCCCATCTTTCTGCATGAAAATCCCACAATAATAGAAAGATTAAATATTCAAGGTCATTATCTGCTACGTAGTGAGTTCATGGTCATCTTGGACTAAAAAGTACCCTGTCTCAAAACTATAAAATAAAATAAAATAAAATAAAATAAAGACTCCATGGAAACTCAAGGCAGTCTTTACAAGATCTCCAGAAATACCCTCTATTCCCCAAAGTTGTATTGAAAGTAAGTAATTTATTGAGAGGGAACGCCCCAGTGGTACATATTTTTATAAGACATCAATGCTTGGAGTGGGAGCTCCCAGTGATAAGTCTGTCCAAGTCACACATGCTGCCATAAGTAACTATAATAAACATTGGTTCACCAAGATGGACTTGGATGAACTCCTTTCTTTATTCTGTCAATGCTCTCTTTCAGGGTTTGTAGACATTTATTTATATCTCCCCAAGGAAAAATCATGTGATAACTTATAAGTAGCCAAGAAAGAAAATTTTTTAAAAAATCAATGAGTTTAAATATCAAAGCTAAAACTATAAAGTTTCTGGAAGAAAACATTGACAAATAGCATCATGGCCTTAGAAAAAGATGAAAATTTCTTGATACCAAGAAAACAAGAACAAGAAAAACTTAAAAGTATTCATTAAAATTAATCTACAATGAAATAAACCATTATAAAATAAGAAAACATCCCAGCATTCAGGTGGTTGAGACAGGAAGACTGTGAGGTCAAGGCCAGCCTGAACTATAGAGTTGATCGCCGGGTTAGCCTAGATTATACTAGACCCTGTCTTGAAAAGCAAGAGGAGAGGAGAAAGGAGGTCAGAGGAAAGGACATGAGAAAAGAGGGGAGGGGAAAAGAGAGACTAGGAGGTGAGAAAAGAAATAGCGTGGGAAAGAGCAAGTCAGGACCAAGAAAAATGTTGGTATATAAAATGAAAAACTTGAATAGAGAATCTATTAGAACCACAGATAAGCTGATGAAAAGCTCTCAGAATCAGAGTAGACAGAAATGTAGACATTCCAATCATAAATATCAAGGACATGAAAAACTAAAGGTTGTATAAACAAAGTGTGAGTGCTTTCTGGATGTGGGCAGTGTGGCTAGGTAATTAGCTGCATAGGATGTAAGAAAAGTTCCAGGGGATGCAAAATGCTCTGTTTTTAAATCATATACTTAACACCACCACTCTCTTGCAAATTAATAATGTGCTTATTCCCTTGCTTTTTCAACATTCATTGAAAGATGGTGGCGTGCCCATGTGCCAGAAGCTAGAAGATATGGTCGGTCCATGTGGGCAAGAATAAAGTGGTATTGCTGGGCGGTAGTGGCACACACCTTTAATCCCAGCACTCCGGTGGCAGAGGTAGGTGGATCTCTGTGAGTTCGAGGCCAGCCTGGTCTACAAGAGCTAGTTCCAGGACAGGCTCCAAAGCTACAGAGAAACCCTGTCTCTAAAAACAAACAAACAAACAAAAAACAAAAGAGAAGGGGGGAAGGAAAGAGAGAGAGGAGAGAAAGAGAGAAAGGAAGGAAGGAGGGAGGGAAGGAGGGAGGAGAAAGGAAGGAAGGAAGGAAGGAAAGAAAGAAAAAAGAAAGAAAGAAAAAAGGAAGGAAGGAAGAAGGAAGGAAGGAAGGAAGGAAGAAAGGAAGAAAGGAAGAAAGAAAGAAAGAAAGAAAGAAAGAAAGAAAGAAAGAAAGAAAGAAAGAAAGAAAGAAAGAAAGAAAGAAAGAAAGAAAGAGTAAAGTGGTATCAACTGAAGATCAGTCCTTGACAGACACCACTTGGTTTGGCTGCAAGCGAACTCCAAACGTGACGCAGCTCCAGCTCCAGCCAGGAGGTGGCGCCCTGCAGACCAAGTCCACCTCAGTGCGCGGAACCATTGAGCAAGAGCTACAGATTTCCGGTGCGGGTGGGGTGGTAACGAGACTGCACCGGGCCCTTCCGAGCTTCCGGGCGGGCTCTGTTTAGTTGCGGACCTCTGAAGGAAGCGACAGAGAGAGCCGGGATTCCTTTCTGTGGTTCCACCCCTCGGCTCCATTCTTCCAGGAGCTAGGGGCTTACCCGAGCCTCGCCGGGCACCCCGGGAGCCCGGGGATCGATGGTACCGATGGAGACGCAGCTGCAGAGCATTTTCGAGGAGGTGGTGGTGAGTGCAGCTGTTCGTAACCCCAGGGTGAGCGTGGGAAGGGGCAGAGTCTATGGCCCTGCTTCTGGGCCTGGCCAGGCTCCTCTCCCGCCCCCTTTGTTTTGACATTGGAATCTCTCCTGGGGTTGGCGGTCTCCGGGCGGCTGTCAGATTCAAAGAAAACCTCGTTAGTTCCCGCTAAAAGTGACTTGTCCTATGTTGCCCTAGAATATTTCTCCAGGGGACACCTCCCACCCCCTCTTTATTATTCAGATCCTTTACTATTTTTTTGTTTTGTTTGTTTGCAGAAAACAGAAATTATAGAAGAAGCTTTCCCGGGGTGAGTATGTGGCAGGCAGGGTTTTGTAGGGGTTTTGGAGATTTTTCTTTGTAAGATTTTACTTACGTTGGTTTGGGGGAATTGCAAGATCTGCTTTGCTCTCTGTGTACCCTTTTAAAACCAGTAGTAAGTAATGTGATTTTTGATTTTCAGCATGTTTATGGATACCCCTGAGGATGAAAAAACAAAACTAATTAGTTGTTTGGCAGCCTTCCGACAGTTTTGGAATGGGCTTTCTCAGGTGAGACATTTCTTTTATAACATCTGGTTGATGACATTTGGTTCCTTTTTTTGCTTTTTACATCTACATTGATCTTTTTCTTGAGGTGGTTTAGGAAAGGGAAAAATAAAATTGCCGTCATTTTATATTCATATCTTTACTTTAGAACCTGCATTGAAAGTTCAGTGTAATAAGATCACAGCGGGAGATATTTTTTTAAAAAAAAATTCTCCCATTTTAGATTATATAAGATCATTTTATCCTATCTTGATATCTTTGGTTTCCATGTGAAAACGGATAATGTTAAACATTTCTTGTAAAAGAAAAATGTCACTATTCAAAAACTTACCCAGTATTTATGAGTGTATCTGCATGAAGACGCTGTAATAGAGTCCCTGTTAGAATAGTACATTATCGTCATGGTTCACTAAGGATAGGGAGATGAGCCACTAAGCTCTCTTTGCCTGTGAGCCAGTGATGTATTTGCCACTCAAGTGTGGGTCCTAAAGACAACATGGTTTATTTTTTTGTTTGTTTGTTTACAAAAGCTAATACTTTGATGTGAATCAGACATATATAAGGCACAAGAGTGGCACCGAAAGCCTGTCTGCTTCCTTTCCTAGTTTAGCCTCCCGCCCTTCTTACTGAAGCCAGAATCCCCATTGGTGTCCCTGAACTGTTTATCTACAAGACAGCATCTCGTCTCTCTGTGTCGTCCTGCTTTTGTGCTTCTGTCTCCGGGGTTCCAGGATTGCAAAGTCATCCGCCATTACTTCTTCACACGTGCTAGACACACACTCATCACCGAGCTGTACCCCCACTTTAGGCATCCCCTCATCTCTGAACTGCACCCCCAGCCTCAGAATTATATGCTATCTCTATAGAATCACGTGTCCCATCTGTAGTGATCAGCACTTACCTCCTTACTTTCCTCCCCCTTAATAGTAAGTTCTGTAAGTAATGTCAGGTAATTTTAAGAGTTTCTTTTCCTTTCTTATGTCTTGTAGCAGTGGAATATATTGGTATATGACTTTTTACCTTTATTAACTAATCACATACTTTCAAGTATTTATTTGTGGGTTTTTTTGTTTGTTTGTTTTGATTTTAGATAGAGTTTTGCGGTGTAGTCCAGGCTAACCTTGAACTTTCAACAGTCCCCTTCCTCTGCTTCCTGGGGTCATAGACCTGGGCCACCAGGCTTAGCTAGATGCTTCTCTTAACTTGTCTGCTTTAAACAGTGTTATAGTGAATAATATTGGTGATCAGACTTAGGATTAGTTACTGGACATAACATTACTAAATCAAAAGATAGGTTGGTTTTTTTCTTCTTAGTTATAGAGGGGAGGTGTGTAACACACGTGGTATTGTCTCTGTGTAATCCAGACTTGCCTGGAACTAGATGTGTAGTCCAGATTGGCCTTGAACTTGTGACCTTAATCTATACCTCCTGAGTGCTGGGATATAAGCATGCATAATGACTCCCAGCGATATTTATAGTTTTATGGAAATTACCTAATTATTTCTTATAAGGGTTATCTTGTTTACAGTCCCGATACCAACATGTGAGAGTATTTATTCCTTAGATGTATACGATAGAATGGTAATAATTTCTTATCCTTGTGTATCAAGCACTGAGAAAGTTTATTTTGATAAAACTTTACATTTTCTTTTAATGTTTAGCATCTTTCATGCATTCTTTATTTTTAAAATAATGTTGGGCTTTTTAAAAATTTTGTTTTGTTTTGTTTGTATGTGTATCACAGTACCTGTGTAGAGGACAGAGGACAACTTACAGTAGTGAGCTATCTCTTACTACCATGTCGGTTCTTGGACTCAGACTCAGGAGGCTAGCCTTGGTAGCAACACAGCAAATACCTTTGCCTGGTGAGCATCTCACCAGGTAGTTTTTATTTATTTCATTTTATTTTATCTTATTTTTGTTTATTTTGGGTTTTTTTATTTTTTCGAGACAGGGTTTCCCTGTGTAACAGTCCTAGCTGTCCTGGAACTAGCTCTTGTAGACCAGGCTGACCTTGAACTCACAGGGATTCACCTGCCTCTGCCTCCTGAGTGCTGGGATTAAAGGCATGCACCATCACTGCCCGGCCCCCAGGTAGTTTTTAAAATGATCCCTTAAGCATTTAGTGAGTTAAGGTGTGACCCTTCAAGAAGTTTATGTATTAAGAGAGAAAACTAAAAATCAAGTGGGCAATTCTAAATCACGAGGCTCAGTAGTGGTGTGGAAGAGCCAGGTGTTGAGAGCCTTCTGGGATGTCCTGGAAGGCAGTGACTTTCAGTATCAGTCAAATTACAAAAACCTAGACTTTCAATTCGTCATTGGAATCATGGTGTTCATGGGGATTGGATTCATTTCCATTTAGATGAGGCTGAAGCCCCACCCATATTAGGTTTTTTCCTCCAGCAAAAGGACTATTTATACCCCCTGAAAGATGTTGCTTACAGTAGCTTAAGTGAGTTTTCTATTGGCTGTGAATTTGTTAATATAATCTTAACTCCTTTGGGAGGTCTCATGGTAGGAGTTAAATCTATATAATTGAAAGATTTAAAAATTAATATAACAAATATTAAAATTTATTTATTTATTATTTGGCTACAAAATCTTGCTGCTCAGGCTGACTTAGAGCACTCTATGTAGCCCAGGAATGCCACAGTATGCCTCATCCCCTCAAGTACTAGGTTTACAAGCGTATACTACCATGCCCGTAGTTGAATCTGACTTGAATCTTGCTCTTTTAGGAATTATTTTAATTTACTGATATTCACAGTGAAATATTTCATCTGCAGTACTGATATATTCCTAGGTATAATATTAGCCATTTGTGTTAGTTAGAAAATGTAGCTTCAGGCCTAAAATAAAAACATTTTTTAATTTTTAGGATTCTCATGAACAGTGCATCCAGTGGATTGTTAAGTTTATTCATGGCCAGCACAGCCCCAAAAGAATCTCTTTCCTCTATGACTGCTTAGCAATGGCAGTTGAGACCGGTCTCCTTCCACCCAGGTATGGTTGGGTGGGGATGAGCAATGCAAAGACCTTTTATTGTAAAGAAGCAGAATTGATTTGAGGTTGTTGTCCAGAGATAAGGGCACGGAAAGGGGCATGGAGCTCCTAAGTAAGTTAGCTTAAGAGGTAGGTATTTTTGGTCTTAAATTTATTTTGTTTTTGATGAATAAGCATCTGTGTTAGTAGTTGTCACATATATAGATATGCATGAGGGGGCCAGAAGAGGGTGTCAGATCGCTTGGCACTAGAGTCAGCAGATGACAGGAGCCACTGGCACTTGGCATGGGTTCTGGAAACTGGACTCAGGGCTTCTGCAGGAGCAGTGTGAGCTCTGGATTGCTGAATCATCCCGACAGCCGTTTTTGTTTAATTTTCATAATGCTTCATCATTACAGTCCTGTGTAGCAAGGGCTGAAGTCCTTTAGAAAGAAGCTTTCAATGCTCATTTGAAGCATGATTAATAAAAACTCAGAGACAGATATTGGGGTTCAACCTGAAGGTCAGAAAAGCAAAGCCACTAGCCACTGACTCTTACCTTCACCTCAGTCTGAAGTGGCGATCCTGCCTCCAGGGATCTCAGAATGAGACTGAGCCTGAGAGCTCTCCTCCTGCCTTATAATCCTCTCTACTTCCACTACCGCCTGGTTTCTCTGGCAAGCTAGTGTGGCTACTGGGATTAAAGGTGTTTGTCATTGCTGCCTGGTCTATACGTCTGGCCAGGGTGGCTGTTTTACCTTTCGGGTCCTCAGGCAAGCTTTATTTATTAAAATACAAATGAAATGCCACTATACTCACTTAACTCCTGCAACATGTATTGGGGCTGTCGTCCAGGGACTATAGGTATTGTCTGTTGTGAGCTGGACTTTCTCATAGCATGGTAGAGTTCAAAAGTTTGCAAAAAGAATATAGTCAAGATATATATAGCCTTGCATTCTTTCCATAGCGGTAAACCTGCCCAGGTAGCATAGACCATCCCTCTAACTCTCCGAGGGGTATGTATCAGTGTCATATTTCACAGAAACATATAGAAAGGAATATGTAATGTAGTCACCTTGAAAAAAAATACAGTTTGTCACCTCCTGGTAATGATAAATATTTAACCAAAAATTTTTGATAGTTTTTTTCTAATGAAAATATAGCATAGTGACTATCATTTAGTTCTACTTAAAGTGTGAGTTGTCTTCTAAGTAAAAGACAGGAAGTGTTACATATCCCTGGAACACTTTAACATGCTTGGCCTGGAGCTTACAGTACCCAGCATCCACAGACCATAGCTGTTAGAAAACTTATAGAGTTCTCTCTCATAACCGGAATTCTCCTTTTTATCCCCTAGGATGGTTTGTGAATCTTTGATAAACTCTGACACTCTTGAATGGGAAAGAACACAGCTCTGGGCCTTAACGTTTAAGCTGGTTCGGAAAATTATTGGAGGAGTGGATTACAAGGTATCATTTATTTCCTCATTGTAAAAAGTGATTGCTTTAAGACATGATTATTTCTTACAGGATGTATATCTTATTTCACGTGAGAGGAACAAAGTAGAGAGTATTCATAACTTGACTTTTTTGCATCTGTGCTGAAGGGATTTAAAATGACTCAGTTGGTTTACAGTGTTTTCCCTCCCAACATTTGAAAACATATGCAGGACTGATACATTGTTACGGTGAAATGGGGTGTCGTGAGTCAGAATCCATGTTGGATGCCAGAGTCTTTCATTGCTTCGTGAAATGAAGAATGTGGAGCAGGGGTCTGTGGACCAAGCGCTCTGCCTTGATCTCTCTAGAATCATGTCCTTCCTTACCTTTGTCTTCAGGATTCTGCTCCTGACCAAAAGTAACAGCACAGCCTCTCGCTGAAGTTCCCGGTACAGCTCCGGAGCTGCACAGCTGCACAGCCTTTCAGCTTAACTCCATCCGGTTGCTGTTGTTTGTTCAGGAACTGCCACGACATGGCCTTGTGCTTTGTGTCTGCATGTTCTTCAATAAGAAATGACCCAATAATGACTAGGGGGATAGTTACTGGTAAATCATAGCCAACCTTAAAATTAATCACAGAAGTTGTCTCGGATGATTTTTCTCTTTACTCAAACTGAGTATTGTTACCTTGTATCCAGGGGGTTTTCACATGCATCTCTGTCTACAGTAAAGCTGAACTTTTTAATCTTTGGAACAGGAGGAACCCTTCGACTGTTTTGAGGGCCAGAAAAGATTGGCAGAGTATAGAAAGTTCCATTTTTGTTTTTGAGGGATTTTCATCACAAGATGTTATGCAGAATTCTGTCCTATTGTGGAGTATTATTCTGTTTTTCTCAGGGTTGTGTTAGAAGCGTGTTACCTCTGATTTGGAAAATTTTAAAGTGTGACCTTCCTGAAACCTGACTGTTCTGCCTCACATAGAAGACTTTATACGTTTTGTTTTAACCTATGTCATCTTTTTTCTTATTAGGGTGTTCGAGATCTCCTGAAAGTGATCTTGGAGAAAATCTTGACAATTCCAAATACAGTAAGCTCTGCTGTTGTCCAGCAGCTTCTGGCAGCACGAGAGGTAATTTAATTTTAAACATGCCTGAAATTCATTGGGGATAGCCTCCCATGTCTAGGTTTTTTTTAAATGAGTGCTTTTAAAACCTATAGTGACTGACGCTCAGGAGACAGCTCAGTGGGAAGGAGCAGTTGATGTTAAACAAGAGAAATAGAGTTTAGATACCTAGGATACCTGTAAAAAAGCCAGGCATGGAAAAAAAAATGCCAGGCATGTGCCCTGTCCCCCATGCCTATAGTCCTGTTCTTGTGGGACAGAGGTATGCAGATCCCAAGAGCTTGTTTGTCAGCCAACCTATCAGAAAACAGCAAGAAGACACCTATACTCATCTCTAGCCTCTGCATGCACGTGCATAGGCAGGGACAGCTGCACGCGTGCATGTAACTCACAACACTCACACAAGTAACGTGCAGTAGTTGTAGAGCATTCTCTTCCCTCTACGAAAATAAAATAAAATCAATTCTTTTTTTGATCAAGTGCTTTGCCACACTGAGCTGCATCTTAGCCCAAGTCATTTTTTTTAAAGATGCTGCTGTCTTTCAAAAGGAAATTTAAAAATTTTAATTTTTACTAGCTAGTTATGATAGGAGTATAGATACTAAAGTATTTGAAATGATTATAAGACAGTGGCCACTTTTATTTTTTGAAACTACTGATAATACTGTAAGATTTTTTTCTTCTGTTACTGTCTTATATCTATGAATATTTAAAGCATTTTTAAGGTATTCCTACCATCAATACAGTCTATTGTAAATTACCCTTCATTTTTATACATGTTTTAAGAGAATTCCTCTGTTAATATTAAATTTTAAAATAATAATTGTGCTTTTTGAGTGTGTGTGTGTGTACATGTATACACATATACCTACGGAATGGTTAAGTCAAACAGTTAGCGTAGTTTACCTCACAGCCTTTTGTCTTGTTTCTGAGGTGGGATATTATGTAACTGATTTCAGCTGAGATGAGGATAGGCTTGAACTCCTGATTCTCCCGTCTCTACTTCCCAAGTGTTGGAATTTCAGACATGCTTCCCTTGTAATCTTTTTTCTTGATAAAACATTTAAGATCCACATAACTATTTCAAGTATGTAATATCTCCTGACTAACTGGAGCCATGATGTATAACAGTCCTCTTGAGTTTGTGCCTCCTATTTAATTACCAGAAGTGTGTCTTTGTGTCAGCATTTTGCAGGTATGTACAGATGCGAACACTTTACCAACTGGGTTATCTCCCAGCCCTACTGACTCATTTTTAAATGCCTTTCTATTGTTGTATTTAAAGGTCTTGATGTGTGAGACTAGTCAAGAATAATGTTACCTTTTTATTTCTTTTAGGTTATAGCTTATATCTTGGAACGAAATGCCTGCCTGTTGCCAGCCTATTTTGCAGTCACAGAGATCAGGAAATTGTATCCTGAGGGAAAACTTCCACATTGGGTAAATTTTGCATTGTCTAAAATTTTAAATTCTTATCAAAGTTTTATCAAATCTTTATTAATTGTATTGCTTGTGTGCATATATACTCGTGTATGTGTGTTACACATTCTGTGTGTGTGTGTGTCTTTAGTTAGGGTTACTGTTGCTGTGATAAAACACTGTGGCCAAAGCAACTTGAGAGGAAAGGATTTGTTTGGCTTATACCTCTTTTTTGCTCTTCATCACTAAAGGAAGCCAGGACAGGGACTCAAAACAGGGCAGGAACCTGGAGCAAGAGCTGATGCAAAAGTCATGGAGGGGTGCTGCTTATTGGCCTGCTTCCCCATGGCTTGCTCAGCATGCTTTCCCATAGAACTCAGGACTGTTGGCCCAGGAATGACCCCACCACTGTACTCTTAAGATTTTTCTTCTGTTACTGTCTTATAGCTATGAATATTTAAAACATTTTTAATGTATTACTACCAACAATACATTCTATTGTAAATTACCCTTAATTTTTATATATGTTTTAAGGGAATTACCCTGTTAAAATTAAATTTTAAAATTGACTATATGTGTGTGTGTGTGTGCACGCATGTGTAGGCTCCCCACAACCTAATCTTATGGAAGCATTGTCTCAGTTGGGGTTCCCTTCTCTCACATGACTTCAGCCTGTGTTAAGTTGACATAAGATTAGCTAGTAAAATATGTATGTCTGTGCACATGCCATACCATGAATGTGGAGTCAGGACAGCTTTGGAAGTTGATTTTCTCCTTCCTCAGTGGGATCCTGTGTTCAAACATAGGTTACCAGGTTTACACAGTAATTCATTTCACCTGATGAACCGTTTCACCCCAAAGCCCCCTTTGAAAGATAATAATTTATGTAGCAGAATGCACATAGGGAAAGTAAGGCTGACTCCTTAGTGTGGGAGGGGTTCCAGAGGAAGAAGAGTGTCATATGCACATTTTCAAATGGTTATGTTATCCTTGGAGAGTATATTTTTTTTACACTTAATATTTTGTGTGTATGGACCATGTACACCATGCATATGGTTAGAGACCAGAGGCTAACCTGCACAAGTCAGTTTTCTTTTCTGTCTGTGTGTGTGTCCCAGGAATTAATACTGATGCCATTAGGCTTGGTGTCATGCATCTTGATTTGTTGAGCCATATCACTGTCCCAATAAATGTGTTTTTAGCATAATATATTTGTTTTATATCTCTATTAACTCATCAAGACAGTTCTTACGTTACATGCTTAAAAAATACACAGCTTTATAACTTAGGGACACTTGGAGTGACAAGTATCTGGAAGAAAAAGAACACACTAGTAATTGAGTAATTATTCTGTGCTAGGCTTGTACTAATTTTTTATGTACAATTTTTTATTTAATTCTTAAATTCCAATGGTTGATCACTCTATGCTGGGTAATCTTAGTCTTATTTTTATATTTATTTGTTTTCTTTTAGTTACTAGGAAACTTGGTATCAGACTTTGTGGACACCTTCAGGCCTACAGCAAGGATAAACTCCATTTGTGGTGAGATTACAATTTAAAGTTGTTTAGTATATTACACAATATCTGATCTTTTGTGACTGAGTCTGATGGACAAAGCTGAAAGGTGGCCTTTTGTGAGTGGCTCGCCCCTTTGTGACACTCGAGGAAAGCAGTAATGTTGATTTTTAGGTGCTTTGAATATGGTGAAGACAGAAATCGTAGATGGGTGTGACCTTCACATAGGACCGTTCTAGGAGTGCTCTAACTAGGAGCACTTTTTATTTGGTATATTTTAATTAGCTTGGCATAACTTTTATTGTATTTTATTTTTGGATTTTTAAAACAAGGTCTGGTGTAACCCAAACTGGCCTTGACCATCTGATTCTCCTGTATCCTCCTCTCAGGCTAGGATTACAACGCTGTGCTGCCACACTCAGTTTATGTGGTCTGGGGATGGGACCCAGGGCTTCATGCCTGCTGAGCAGTCCCCAGCCGAACTCCATCTCTTAGCCTGAAAATGCTTCTTAAACGCTAGACCATGGGAATGTCAGCAGGCTTGTTCTGCTGGGGCCATCATATAGGGAATACCAGACTCTTCCAGTCCAAATACACACCTTAGCTCTTCTTTGGATATTTTAGCTATCTACTTTCTTATGTTTGGTTTGATTCTCTCATTTGATAATCTTTCAATGCTGAAATATATTTCCAAATATATTTCTAAAACTTATGATATCCATTTAACTTTCTGGGAATATGGACCCCCTTTTTAAAAATGATCAGATATTGAGCATTTCTCACAAGTCAGTACAATTTTAGGCACTGGGAATATAAAAATAAACTATAGATTCTAGACAGAAAATCCTGAGCTCTAGTTTTTGTAACTGATTAGATATTAATATCATTACCTGACTTACAGAAGTGAACTACGTCTTAAGATGTTGAGTTTATTTCAGATGGGTTGAGCTTGGGTTGTCTATGGGACAACTAAGTGTTGCTGTTGTGTAGGCGGTCAGCGTATGCTATATCAAAGTCTTCTGCAGAGATCCGGCAAAAGAAAAGTAGAAAGCATTCACCCTAGAAAAGAGATCCATGTATCTGTGCATACCCATCTCATGAACATTGGGAGCTTTGTGTTGTACAGTCTGTTGCAGCTTTGCTGCCGAATTGCAAACGCATCTGTGTGCCATTACAACTTTGCAAAAGCAGATAGCCAGGTAGATTTAGCTCGTGGTGTAGGAGGGTCTTCTTTCTATGTGTTGTTTTCATTGATCAAATAAAGAAACTGCCTTGGCCTTTAGATAGGGCAGCAGCTAAGATAGGCAGAGTAGAAAGAACAGAATGCTGGGAGAAAGAAGGCAGAGTCAGGCAGATGCCATGAATCTCCGGCCCAAGACGGACATAGGTTAGGATCTTTCCCTGTAAGCCACAGCCTCGTGGTGTTACACAGATTTAATAGAAATGGGTTATAAGATGTGAGAGTTAGCCAATATGAGGCTAGAAATCATGGGCCAGGCAATGTTTACATGAATACAGTTCCTGTGTAATTATTTCAGGGTATAAGCTAGCTGGGCGGCAGGACACAGCCCGCTCTCCTCCTACAACAGATTGGCACCCGCTCATGGACTGTACTTTGCTGACCTCTGTCTTAGGCACTTAAACAAAATGCAACAGTTTTGAATTTGAAAACCTTGTGCAAATTGATTGTCCAGTCATCAGAAAGAAATTCAGTTATTAAAAATTCTCATTCTTAAGTCTCCTGACAGCACTGAAAGGCATTTAAACCAGTGCCTCTTGAGCATGTATATTCATTAAATATTAAAGAGGTATGAAGAATCCGGCGTTGCCTCGGTCAGGTTTACATATAAATATTTTTGTAATGTGTTCAGGCCGTTGTAGTCTTCTGCCAGTTGTGAACAACTCGGGAGCCATCTGTAATTCTTGGAAACTGGACCCCGCAACTCTTCGCTTTCCTCTAAAAGGCCTTTTGCCATATGATAAGGTATGTATTAATCCAGTGTTGGCCATCTAAGAGTCACCATCCCATATTGTCACGTGTCCAAAGCCAGGTGCCTCTTAATAGTCTGGGAAAGTAAATATTTTAAAGAAAGATAGCTTATGACTTATTATATTTTACGGTGTGTGTTTTGGTTTTGTCTTTGATTTCCATTTCTTTTGCTAAGGTCTTGCTATATAGCCTTGGCTAGCCTGGAGCTCTGTGCAGTAGTCTGGCCTCTAGCTTATGGTGGCCTCCTTGTCTTTGCCTCCCAGTGCTGACATGGCAGCTGTGTTCTGCCACATCTGCCTACGGGTTTTATGTCATTCTGGTACCCAGATATACTCTGTGGTTTTGTATTTGCCTTAGTGGTACTTAGATAAACTCTCCATAAGTACAGTTCTTGTCTAAGACTCTACATTTAAAGAAATGAGTCATGACTTGAACTCAGGACCTGCACACATTACTATTGGTCTTTTGGCACCTACCCTTTTCAAATTTGGCACTAGTGGTTAGCTGGAAGAGAGCATTTGGGCACTGCATCCATTCTCTTTGGTTAGGTTTCTAAGCAGAAGAGTCTTTCCCTTGCACTGATTCTGATGACAAATGTGGCTGTCTGACATCATGTTTCTAAGTTTAATGTTGACGTAAAGAGGCTGCATTGTTGTCGTCACTGGGGATTTTTCTGGTAAGGAAGAGCAGTCCCCTTACTGCATTAATAAGCAGTCTTGCAGATTACACTAACTTTGTAGTCTAGTTGTCCTTAGAACTGTGTCCACAAAACCTATTGTTTGCTCATGTCTGTAAGCCCAGAACTTATAAGGCTGAGGCAAGAGGAAACTATGAGTTCTGGCCATCCAGGCCTTCATCGTAAGTTTTAAACCAGAGTGACACCCTGTCTCAGCCAAACAAAACAAAACCAAGCAAGCAAAAACTGACCTGTGTCTACACACCAGCACTTACTGGTTATTGTGTTTTAAAATGGCTCAGGGATCCTGTGTGTGTGTGTGTGTGTGTGTGTGTGTGTGTGTGTGAGTGTGTGTTGAAATTTTTATCATATTTTTTGTTTTATGTATACAAATGTTATGCATTGCATGTATGTCCATATGCCACATGAATGGATTGCCTGTGGAGGTCATAAGAGGGCATCAAAGCTGGAGTTGTAGGTGGTTGTGAGCTGCACTTTAGGTTCCAGGAGTCGAACCCGGGTCCTGGAAGAATAGCCACCCCTCTTACCAGCCAAGCCATCGCTCCAGCCTCACAAGGAGTCCTTTAAAATGACTTGAAAGGATGTGGATGTCTCCTATCAATTCCGCAGATACAGCGTTAGTGAAGAAAGGAGCAGCAAGTCAGTGTGGAGCTGGAGTGAACTGAGGGGCGGGATCCATTTAGAAAAAAAAAGATTGTATTAAGGCAATAGCGGTTCTTCAGTTTTCCTCACAATTCCACTAGTATAGTTTTAAAGCATGTCTTAAAAATTCGCTCATAAATTGCCCCCATTCATTTCAGAATTCCATAATAATTCAATCGAGCAACCATTATGCAAACAGTGTTTGAAGTAGATTTTGCAGGGACTTTGAGAGTGAGGGCTCTGCCGGCACAGACGGAAATGAAGAAGACGTGTGTGCTAGAAAGCTGACTCTGTGTGTTTATAAGTACTGATTATTTCAGAACTAGTGTATGCTAAGTGCAGGTTCTCTGAAGTGGCACGGGCGTAAACCCCTCCTTTCCTAAAACTGTGTGTTTAAGTGCTAAGGTTGTTCGACAGTCTTACTAGAGAAGCAGGACCCAGAAGCTTAGATTGAGGGATGCTAGAGCTGTAGGTGATCATTTAGAAAATAGCTGTGGACTCAGAAAATGGTTCTGGTTTTGGATGTACCATCATAGTAGTAGTTGTATGAACTGAATTTAGTAACGAGAAATTGTGTGCTTAGATATGGAGAAACTGCTGGGAAATTGTCAGCTTTGCACAGAAGGGAAGCAGAAATCGTAGTGATGCTTCATTGTGTCTAAGGACTATCTGTCACCAAGGACAAAGCCTATCTAAACTGACACATGAAATTGATGTTTTATTTTAAGAAGAGACTCTTGAAATGGGAAACTGTAAATGTTGTGTTTTCAGGAAATAAGAAGTTCTGATTCGTTCTATTTAGTGTTGTCTTGACTTTAAACCCTTAAAAGACCTCACACAAGGCTTTCACCCTGGTTTTCAAATGAAACATAACCTGTAAACACTAAATATAATTTTTTCCCTACTAGATTTCGCATACTGGAAAGGTAACAAGTTCCTTGGGAGGTTTTACTCTTAATTCCAAATAATTTGCATTCACATTTGTTAATCTAGAAGCAGTAATTTCTTTTTTATTTCCTTTAAAGGATCTGTTTGAACCACAGACTGCTTTGTTGAGATATGTATTGGAGCAGCCCTATTCCAGGGATATGGTCTGCAATATGCTAGGTTTAAATAAGCAGGTACTGTACTATGCTGGAAGCCAATCAAATCTGTAGATCTGCACTGTTCTTCTCTATTTTTCTTTGCCATAGTTAACCAAGCAAAACAGTTAAGAACTCTTCGATGATCTTTTCAGTATTAAACTTATTCAACAATGTTGTCTTCTATCATTTATATATTGCATTAAGAATGTTTATATTTAAAGGGAGGTATTTTTAAAAGTTGGTTTGTTTTGCATTGCTTTTTTTCTATAAGGCCAGTTTCAAGTTACCTTTTGCCAGAGAAACCTACACATGACTTAACCATATTTTTTGACCTTTTTGTTGTTGTTGTTTGGGTGTCTTTTTATAACCCTTAATATCTTCAGAGTGGCCGCCTTGCTGACTTTTTCTTTTTCTTTCTTTTTTTCTTTTTTTGTTGTGTGTTTGTTTGGTTTCAGTGGTTTGACATGTGGGCGGGTTTGTGCTGACTTTGGGTTTCTTGAGGCTGGCCTCATAGTCACTGTTTTGTCTTTTCTTTTTTTCTTCCTTTATTTTTGTTCTGTCCTGTCTTGTCCTGCCCATCCTCCAATGCTCTAGACCTTGAACATTGCTCAGGTATGTTCACAACCTTACTGTTGTATTGTGACTAACGATACGCTGGCCGCTTTGTAGCCACTGATTCATTTAGACAATACGTGTATGGTCGGGGCTTGAAATTGGCGGGACCATGCTGAGACCAAGGCCACTGAAAAACCTTCTTGGGATGTGAGAGTTCTTTTTGGTGGATGGTTTTTGTTTTTATTTTTGGCGTTTTGTTTTTGATATATATTTTTGGTTTCTTGTTTTTTAAGAAAGAGACAACACTTGGCACTCAGTAAAGCCTGTCACTTTTTGATGGCGTTCTCCCCCACTCCATTTTACTCTTTTCATTTTCAGGCTAAAGTTAGCCTGATGGGATTTTCAGAGTTGGAAAGATTGGTGATAGACTCTTGTCTTTCCAGACTATTAAGAAAAACAAATAGCAGCAACAAAAATACTCTGTTGATTTGCCTAAAAATTCAAAACAATTTTAAAAAAGAAAGAAAAAAACATTTTCATAGAGATATGTTGCTTTTAAAAGTTGGAGTGGTGAGCTTTAAACAGGGAAGGCTTTTTTGGAAATATGGGGATTGACTAAGAAATGCCACACTCTTAGGTGACCCCACACCTCTTGACAAACACCCTTCTTTGTCAGTCCTTCTCTTAGAGTGGGCTCCTCACTTGAAGCTCGCCTGTGGAGGAGAAAACCACTGGCTACATCTGACAAGCCAGACTTGTATGCAGTCCCAAGTCTGTTCCAGGACTCTGCACCTTTGAGATTTTAAGCAAAATAGTGGTTCCAATTATTTTTGTTAACAATTTTTGAGCCCAGCATATTAAAATAGACCAGCTTTTTGATTTTAAAAAGACGCTCTTGTCTAGGCTCTCTTAAGTAGCGTTGCTGTTTGCAATACTATAGTGAAGGTTGTACCAGTGCTTCCATTGATAAAGCCCTATTTTTACGGACATACGGCTTGGCCATAAAACTTGCTCAGTGTTGAAACTGCATGCCAAACTCATGCCAGTAGTAGTACCTCCTTTATTATTTTCAGTTTTTTTTTTCTTCTAAAAAAATTTACCAAGTTTCCTTGTTTGAAAGAGCCTTTGTACATGTGAAACTGAAACTCCTTGACCATCACAGTACCTGACAGTTACCTCTATAATCTGTCACATTGACATTTTAAATCCAAGTCATTAACTGGTCCACTTTCACTTGAGTTAGAGGTAAGTATTAGTTAACTTTGCAAGAATGCTTCACACTTTGTCTTAAAACTAATTTTGCAGTGAAAGTTAAATCATACTTGACTCATTTTTTTTTTAAATTTGGTGGCTAAATGTCATTTGGGCTGCAAGTACATCCCCCATATATCTTTAGCTATCTGTGGCTTACCCCCCTCCTTTGGGGGAAGGATGCAGCTATCCTCAAAATAGAAATTGACAAAAATAATTCCACGAAGGGTATTTGTGATCTGATCATTTTAATAAGTTTCAACCTATAAAAAGTTTATGACTAAGACATAGATCCATTAAAAATAAAGTTTATAATGGAAATGCTGACAGAACATTATTAGTTTTGGCCCCACCGTAGTGTAAACATTGTCAAAAATTCACAATTCATGGGTAATGGTTGCCATAGGCAACTCTATAGTGAGGGGAATCTACCAATGTAAGATAATACGCTGACATGCCTTGGTATATTATTTTACATATGGAGAGCAGAGTATAAAAGGAGAACATGGAGGATAAATTCATGAATAAAAGGATCAAATCATCTTATTGCATCTTTTATCATTACAGAACTATGTGCCCTTTGCTGTACTTTCTTTCCTTTCTCTAACAGTGCAATAATTAAAGCCTGAAGACTTTATGACCTGTCCGTATTGCATTTTCCAGTAGGAATTAGGTTACGGTTAATCCTAAAATTGATCGCAGACAGGTCATAAATAACCTCGTTCCACAGCCACAGCAAGGTAGAATGTGGAAAAAAGAAAAAAATGTTTGTTTTATGTTCACGTCAGAGTTTCTATCTTTTTTCTTACAACTAAAAGCATGACTCATTTACACTTCTTAAGCATTTGTAAGCTGTGTGTCGACTCTGGCTACCATCTCTCTGAAATGCCTCTGGGAGCTGTTTACTAACATGGGGATCTGGTTCTCATTGGCAGCTTCCTTGGTAAAAGTAGGGGATTAATAGGCTTGAGACTTACACCTCCCAACTTGTCCTAAATAGACAGCTTTAAAATTGATGTAAATTACTATGTAGCATTAATTTGAACCCTTGTAAGTAAAATTTCTGAAATGTGTAACGGAGAGGGAGCTGTTCCGTACAAAGCGTCCCATGCCACTCAGTAGCAAGTCTGGGTGAGTGCAGACAGCAGCTGTGCTGACCAGCTGTCCACATGGTGGGAAAGAAGCAGGGCACGCTGCGGTTATGGGTAAACTAAGGTCTAGTATAGTTTGAACTATTATGTGGAGAAATAATTTTAAAATACAAAATTTAGATATTCTCATCATTAAAAACAGGTTTAAAATAAATATGCGTATAGATACACTATAAACTAAAAGTTCAACATTTATGCTAGTCTAGTAACTTATAAATAAAGTGTCTTTAAAATGTTCACTGGTCCACTTTATGAGACAATCTGAAGTATGATGAAGACTTTTTGTTTTCATGTAACTATTTTATAGTAATTGAAAACTAAAGCAAAGTAATTGTGTGTCATGCCTGTAATCCCAGAGTTCAGGAGATTGAAGCAGGGAGATTTCCTCAAGTTTGAGTTCAACCTGGACTTCATAGTGAGTACCAGGTCAGCCAGAGCTATGTAGCAAAATCTTGACTTTAAAACATACGCACACACATGAGAAAAAAGAAAACCCAAAACATAAAACTAAACCTATTTATTTAAACTTTGTTTTTTCACATAGGGTCTTGCTTAGGTACCCCAGGCAGAGCTGGAGCACTGCATTCCACAGGCTGTCTGGTCAGCTCTACCGGTCTGCCTGACACAAAGGTTACTTAAAAGTAGACGTATAGGTCATTCTATGTATCTCAGGCCTTTCTTCTTTTGATTCTGTCAATTGGCAAATAAAGCAATGTGCTTAATCCCACCTTTAAGTTTAGTTTAAGGAAAGTACCTGACTTTATCCAGAGTAATCCATCCAGTACATATTCTGCTCCCGTGAGATACCAAGACCTGAGGTGGCAGAGAGATTCCGGTGTACTTGATTCTTAACTGAGAAACGGGTGAAAACGTGAGACGTGGCATGTGCTGAAAGAACATCAGCTTGAACTGTGAATTTCCCAGTTGCTTTGATTTTGTTAAAATGCTAATATTTTTGGCATTCTTCTTTAAACCCTTAACTTTGTGGCCATCACCACTTGCCTGAAAACTTGTAGGTAAACATCCAATCTTTCAAAAAACAAATATCTAATATAAGAAAGGGAAACTCCAAAGTGGCTCAGGAGCTAAACACCAATTTTATTTAGTCTGTTCTTTTTTCCTGAAGTAGACTGATGGAAGACCACCATGGATGGAGGAGTAGTTGACAAATTGGCTAGTCTCCAAAGTAGGAGCAAATTCTCATCACTAGTAGAAAAGAAAAATTCCTACTGGAAATCCTGGCTTTCCTTCTTTCCACAAATTTTTCTGACTCTTGTTTACTTTGGATGATCTCGCTCTAAATTCGTGTTGTCGGACCCATTCTTAGGTTGTTGGTGGTTGGCAGAACTAGTGAATTTCAAGCCCTGTACACAATAGTTGCATGCTGACTTGAGAACTAGTCTGTAGTGTTGTCTGTTGCTCTGCTCTGCTTCATACTGATGACTACATCTGGAGGAGAAGTCCTGGAGTCTCAGCTGGTGGTGTTACTATTGCTCTTCGTAACCTGTAAAGTGGTTGACCTGTGATCATGGCCTTGTGTTTGGGGGAACTAGACTATGAACCAACCATTGATGCTTACTGTTTTGGGTAGATGTTTGTTTTATTTGCATGCATTGAGAAAGTGCAGCCATATTGGAGCTTTACAATGTGGAGCTGGCAAAGCATGCAAGGAGGGGATGCAGTGCATTGTTTGGTTTCTTTCCAGATTTGTCCCCATTTTGCATTTTTCTATAAATTCAAGAAATATCCCTTTTTCATGGCAAAAGACATCGATAATTACATCTAAAGTATAGGAAAAATGGTCTATATTTTAGTAATTGTGTTCATTAGAAAGGCTTCCAACTGCCTACTACTACATAATACATTTATAAAGAAAAAAATGAAGTTGCTTTTAAAATATAGCTTAATTCTTCTGTTAAAAGTACATTTTAAATCACTTTTAAAACACAATCTTTTTGCCTCTAGAAAGGGAAGTTGCATTTTCATTGTTAGTGTTTAAATCAGCTCTTTTTCTTGTTTTAGATATTAAAATGATCTAATTTAAAATTAAAGCTGCATTGTGTTTGACCTTCAGAGAAGGGAAGAATAGAGGTTATCTCAGATAAGTTTCTCTTTTGTTATGGAAGAGGTTTTCATTTCAATATCAGGATTATTGCTACACATTGAAGAACAGACATTCCTCTGTTAGTGATGGAACTGTAAGCTTGGAGTTGTTACTTTAAAGCACACGTGTTGTTTCATTTGCTTTTTCTAAATAGTTAATCTCTGGAAATTTGTTTTTCGATTTAGGTTGCAAAAATGATGGTATCTCCCTATCCTGTCCACTTTAATCTATTATCTTAACAAAGGAGTAGATTGCTTTGATTGCCTTTTGTCAAATGGAAATAATTCTGCAGTCCAAATTAATTAGAAGCAGGAGAAATGAAAAATATTTTTCATGAAACTTATTCTGTATGGTAATATAACATGATGCAGCTTTAATTGACTAGATCTAACCTTAACTTCAACTCCATTCCATGCTTCTTGGCCTCTTGTTACAATTAATGCCCATTAACTGGTGACTTCTGAAACTAACCAGGAGGCTTTTGGAATACTGTATTTAATCTCTGCCCTACAGCACAAGCAGCGCTGCCCTGTGCTGGAGGACCAGTTGGTGGACCTGGTGGTGTATGCCATGGAGAGGTCTGAGACCGAGGAGAAGTTTGACGATGGGGGAACAAGCCAGCTCCTGTGGCAGCATCTCTCCAGTCAGCTCATTTTCTTTGTGCTTTTCCAGTTTGCCAGCTTTCCACATATGGTCCTTTCTCTCCATCAGAAGGTAGGTACCACAGCATACTTGGCTCAGAGCCACGTTACCTGCTAATTGGTATGGTTTAGACTGCTTTCAGCACTGCCAGTGATACTGGCTTCAGAGAGGACAGCAGTCGGGGCCTGAATCAATCAATCTATCATTCTCTTTCTTTCTGTCTTTCTGTCTTTCTTTCTTTCTTTCTTTCTTTCTTTCTTTCTTTCTTTCTTTCT